CAAGGTGGGAAGTTCTTGGAGGGAAGGATATCGGGGGTCTATTTGGAAACAGTCTCTATACCCCAGGGTAGGGGTAAGATCTGCGTACACACTACCCGCCCCAGACCCCACTAAGTGGGATTATACTGGGTTGTTGTTGTTGTTAGTCTCTGCTGGACTTCTTGTTAAGAATGGTTTTAGATGTGTTTTTGTTTCCAATAAGGTTGTAATAAGTAAGAACGAAATGTTGTAGGAAAAGGTTACCTCACTGAGGGCCTTTTCAAGCTGAATGTAATGGTTGTTGAAAATAATAATAAAATTTCAGCTTTGTATTACTTACTTGAGTCAAATGAATTATGGCATATACGTTTGGGTCATATTAATTATAAAACCTTGCGGAAAATGATTAATTTGGAAGTATTGCCTAAATTTGAATGTGACAAATTAAAATATCAAATATGTGTGGAATCTAAGTATGTTAAACATTTTTATAAGTCAGTTAAAAGGAATTCAGATCCTTTAGAGTTAATTCACACAGATATTTGCGATATGAAGTCAATAGCATCTCGCGGTGGAAAGAAGTATTTCATAAATTTTATTGACGATAGTACTCGATATTGCTATGTTTACTTACTTAATAGTAAAGATGAAGCAATAGATGCATTCACGCAATATAAAAATGAAGTTGAAACACAACTTAACAAGAAAATCAAAATGATAAGAAGTGATAGGGGTGGTGTATATGAATCTCCTTTTGAACAAATATGTTTAGAATATGGAATTATTCATCAAACAATGGTCCCTTACACGCCCCAATCCAATGGGATTGCAGAAAGAAAGAATCGTTCATTAAAGGAGATGATGAACGCATTATTGATAAGTTCTGGTTTGTCACAGAACTTGTGGGGGGAAGCCATTCTTACGGCTAGCCGAATACTAAATCGAGTACCCCATAGCAAAATACAATCCATTCCATATGAAAAATGGAAAGGAAGGAAGCCCAACTTGAATTATTTTAAAGTGTAGGGGTGTTTGGCAAAAGTGCAAGTTCCTAAACCCAAAAGGGTAAAAATAAGACCGAAAACCGTTAATTATGTTTTCATAGGATATGCGACTAATAGTAAAGCATATCGATTTCTGGTTCATAAATCAGAAAATCCCGATATTCATAATAATACGGTTATAGAATCAGATAATGCTGAGTTCTTTAAATATATATATCCGTATAAATAGGAATGTGAGTCGATTGGTGAAGGATCTAAACGACCTCGGGAAGAAACAAAAGAAAGTACACTTAACCAGGAGGATCCAAGACGTAGTAAACATCAAAGAATATCTACTTCATTTGGACCAGATTTTGTGACTTTCTTATTGGAAAATAAGCCTCAAACATTTAAAGAAGCTATGTCTTCTTCGGAATCATTGTTTTGGAAAGAGACAGTCAATAGTGAAATAGAATCCACACTGAACAACCATACATGGGAATTGGTTGATCTTCCTCCTGGAAATAAACTGTTGGGTTCTAAATGGATCTTTAAAAGGAAAATAAAATATGATGGCACTATTGACAAATTTAAGGCAAGACTTGTTGTCAAAGAGTATAGACAACGAGAAGGTCTTGACTATTTCGATACATACTCTCCAGTTACAAAAATTACGTCCATAGGAACGTTAGTAGCGTTAGCTACAGTTTATGGTTNAATGTGATAAATGTGTGTACATTAAAAATATTCCAAATCACATAGTCATTGTTTTCCTATATGTAGATGATATGCTGATAATGAGTAATGACATTGCCAACATAAATGCGACTAAGCGCATGTTAACTAGCAAGTTTGATATGAAAGACTTGGGAGTTGCTAATTTAATTCTGGGAATTAAGATCCATAAGACTTCTCAAGGTCTGACATTGTCACTATCTCATTATATTAAGACAGCACTTGAAAAATTCAAGCACTTGGGCTTTAAAGTTGCAAAGACTCCAATTGACGTGAATAATGCATTAGCAAAGAACAAAGGCCAAAGCATATCACAATTGGATTATGCTCGTGTGTTGGGCTGCTTAATGTATATCATGAATTGTACACGGCCACATACAACTTGTGCTATAAGTAAATTGAGTCGATATACGAGCAATCCAGGTCAATCTCATTGGATGGCCATGAAATATGTTTTGGGGTATTTAGTACATACCCAGGACTTTGCTACTACAGTAAATGTCATGCGGTCATTGAGGGATATTGTGATGCAAGTTGGATCACCGGATCAACTGATTCCAAGTCCACAAGTGGATATGTATTCACGATTGATGGAGGAGCGGTATCTTGGAAGTCGTCCAAACAAACTTGTATTGCCCGCTCTACGATGGAGGCTGAATTCATAGCCTTAGATAAAGCCGGTGAAGAAGCTGAATGGCTCCGGAATTTCTTGGAAGATATTCCATTTTGGCCCAAACCGTTGGTACCAATATGCATACATTGCGATAGTCAAGTGGCAATTGGAAGAGCTGGGAGCATTATGTATGACGGTAAATCTCGTCATATACGACGGAGACATAAAACCGTTAGGCAATTACTCTCTAGAGGAATTATCACGATTGATTATGTAAAGTCAAGTGATAACGTGTCGGATCCACTTATAAAAAGCCTAACTAGAGAGGTTGTTGAGAAGTCATCAAGGGGAATGGGATTGTGGTCGAGAACAAGTCATAGTGGCGGTAACTCTACCTAGAAGATTGGAGATCCCAATATCTAGGTTCAAAGAGATCAAACAAAGTCATTAATGACGGTTCAACATTGTCAACTAAACTTTTGGTCCATTCTCGTGATAGGACAATGTTCAGTGCCAAGGATAAAGCATTAAGGCTTTTTAATGATTTCTAAATTTGATACGGGGTATATCAAATAATGTATCTACGGGATGACACGTTTAGGAATCACATATGTAAGTGTGAAGTGTTAGCCGCTTCAAGGAGAATCTTGCAAGACCAGTTCTCTATGCACTTATGAAACCAGGCGGTGTTCATGGCTGAAACGAACACAACAATGAGAATCAAAGACGGTTAAGGGTTGGTTGTGTGACTTGTGGTTGTCTAGATATACACCAAAGTTCAACAGTTCAAAGATATCAAATCTACCGATTGATCGAGTATATCCGACATAATTTCACTACGAAAAGTTCAAAGGGAAACCTACTTATCCAGATGCAATTAATCCTTACTTGCGAATCACACAGTTTTTCATGCATGTTTCCGTGATATAGCCATTCCCCATTCATGTGGGGGATTGTTGGGGTTTTATGTATTTAAGTATATTAAATACTTAAAAGAGGGTAAATAGAAAATTGAGGAAAATGAAATTTTTGAGTGAAATTTTAAGTTTCCCCCCTTGACAAATGGACATTGTCCCATATTGGAAGAGGAAGAGGTTTTTATAGGTATATAAGCAATTGCTCTTCTTCTATCTCTTAAAGAGTTGAGAAGAAGGCAAGCTTCACGCCGTCGTCGTCGTCGCTCGCTCGGCTCGGCTCGGCCTCGGCTTCGGATTCGGTCAATTGATTGATTAATTTTTTGGACTAAATTTATTTATTAATAGTAAAATATTAACAGAAATGTTATTAAATATTTTAATAATAGAATATTAATATTAAAATAAATATTAATATTAAATCCTCCAATCCGTTTTTCAGTTGTGTAACTGAAAATTAAACTACCCTCTTTAATTTTTCCTCTCTATTTTCCCTCTTTATTGTTGAGTAAATAGCCATTTATGTAATGACATTTATGATGTGGCCGTTTTGCATAAACAACCATTCTAAATAGTTGCACCTCTTCAGAATTCAGCCCAACTTTGGCTATGAATACAAGTCTATTCTGCTCAGAATTTCCATACAATTTTCTGAGTTTCTCCTCCTTCTTCTGCATACTTTTAACATTAAACAAAGCAACAGTAAGTGTGATTTGCTACCGAACTTTGTGTTCGCTAAAACACTGGGGGTTGAAGTACCACTACACCAGTATGTAATTTGTTATATCCTGGGAGGAAATAATCCATAACCTTAGGTACTAGGAGGGGATTAAATTCCTTAAGGAAACACTGTGAATTCAGTGGGCTCGGATTAAAATTCTATTTTGTTTTTCATTTATGTTTATGTTCATTTATATTTTCCAGAATTATTTTACAAATACAGTTTACTAACAGTGATAAGGGTGGATATGCAGCTTTTGAATAGCGGATTCATCTAAATCCAATATTTTCATGCATTGTATAAATTTATATGTAAAAATTTACTAAATTGCTATAAATAGTATATATGAACTCATAACTTTAAAAACATAATGATTTTAATGCTAAAGTCCATAAATGTTGAACCTCATAAAGTTAAAATCTTGGATTCGCCTATGTGTGGTGGTATATAACCATCTCATCCCAAAATAAATTGTTAGAGAAAATATACTTTGTTTTGCCTACCTAGTATATCTTAAACAAAGACAACAAACAATAACGGCTCAGTATAATCCTACAAGTAGGGTTTAGGAAGGGTAATATGTACGCAAACCTTATCCCTACCTGAGGGACAGAGAAGCTGTTTCCAGGAGACCTTCGGCTCAAGAAATCTAACAAGAAAAGAAAATAAGATTTTTCCCATTCAAGCTTAGCATTCCAGTAGAAAGATGATCCTAACATAAACAGAGAGGAAGAGAAACTCCAAAGTAGACTATGTAATCAGAGTACAGAAACAGTAGGTAAGTGCATTAAAATGTGTGCGAAACTGGACTTGTTGTGAAATAAAAGAGAGTGCTCTTCAGTCTTCACGGACTATAATAAGCAGTCACGGATTAATGGATATTGAAGTGCGCAATGAATACAATGAACAAAGCTCCAAAGTTTCCATTTCAGTATTTCCCAGCTAATCACTTTGGAATTCCTCCAGCAACGTGTTGCTCTCTCAGTTCCATTTCAAGTAAATACCCCATTCACGGGTTGCACATACCATGCACCTATAAAAACTATAGTGTAATATCAAAAACCAAGAACATAAGAAAATAATGCAACTATCCTTTTTAGAACCCAAAATTAAAGTTATGGGTTCAAAGATTTCAGCAATCTTCTTCATTTCTATGATTTTCATGTCAACATGTTTATCACCAGCTTATGCAACTTCGGGACGATGCCCATGTACTCCTCCTTATCCACCTTACCAACGCCCTAGTCCACCTGGCACTACTCCACGGCCGCCACATCCGCCTAAATCTCCACGTCACCCTCATCCACCTAAGTCCCCTGGTAGGCCGCCCCACCCTCCGTCAACGCCACGTCCGCATCCACCAACGACCAAACCACCACCCCACCACGGCGGAGCACCTCCTAGGGTTTTGCCGCCTATTGTCAGACCACCACCAGTTGTAACACCTCCGGTCACAAGGCCACCTGGCATTTCACCTCCAGTCACTAGGCCACCTGGCATTTTACCACCTATTGTCAATCCTCCCGTTGTAACACCTCCAGTCACTAGGCCACCTGGCATTCTTCCACCTATAATAAATCCTCCGGTCACTAGGCCACCTGGCATTCTGCCACCTATAATAAATCCACCTGGCATTTTACCACCAATAACAACTCCTCCCGGAGGAATCCCACCACCTTCTGCTGGATATCCACCTTATGCACCTCCTGGTGGAGGTGGTGGTGGTGCGCCCGGTCGCGGAGGAGGAGGCGGCGGCGGTATTCCGGGTATTACTCCAGCGCCGCCTGCCACGTGTCCTATAGATGCATTAAAACTTGGGCTTTGTCTTGATGTTCTTGGAGGATTAGTGCATATTGGGATAGGAAATCCAGTGGAACATATATGCTGCCCAGTGTTACAAGGATTGCTAGAGCTAGAAGCTGCGATTTGTTTATGCACAACAATAAGACTTAAACTTCTTAATCTTAACATTTTCCTCCCATTGGCACTTTCAGTTCTTGCAACTTGTGGTTTAACTCCTCCTCCTGGTTTCATATGTCCTCCTCTTGTCTGAACTAAGGTTTTTATGTTGGTCCTTTTGTTTTAATTTCCATTGTGCACGGTAAGAGATAATATGCAAATAATTAGTTCCTTAGTCTTGTTTTTTCGAGATGTAAAACGTTAACTATCCTAAGAGTTTGTGTCTTTGTTATGTTTTTGGTATTTCGCTCCCACAAATTGGATTCTGAAAGTGTGTAAAACTCAGTAATAATGTATTGGTGTGGGTTTCATGTTCATTTGCATGGAGTTCCTTCATACTTCTGCATCTTTAATTATAGTATATTTTGTTGGCTCGATAACATAAAAAGTCGTTGGATATACCCAACTGTGTACTAAGCTGTCCACGTAGATTTTTTTGAGTGGGCATTTTAGAAAAATATTTCTTAATTGATTTAGCAATAAAAAGTTTTAAATCTATTGGACTTACTTAGTGAAAATAGATTGAAAATCTTTAGCACAATTAATATATTAATATATCATATATTCAAAATAAATTCATAATTAAATTGAATAGATGTATCTAGGGAGAATTCGCTTTGAAGAAACTATTCCCTAGATACACATGTTGTTATTTCACAATTATCAATTTAAAAATTTTAAGAAAGATCTAAAGTTAGGGATTCATTCTCATTCTCATAAGAATGAATACTATGATTCGCGTTTCGAACATGCATGAATACAACATTTATAGGATAACTTCCATCTTGAACGTTCTGTGGCGTTTTTATAAGATATCCACGATTTCTCTCTATTTGTAATCTAATACAAAAATCAATTGGTTCCANTGGTTCCGTTAAACTGGCTATATGTTGTGTATTATCAACTATTTCTACATAAGGCGGCAAGATGATATCTTGAGCAGTTACAGATCCAGGACCCTTGACATAAATAGATGCGTCAGAAGTTCCATATAGATTACTTCTTAATACAATTTCTTTCAAATTCATTAAAATTTCATGTACCGATTCTTGAATGCTCGTTATGGTAGAATATTTATGTGGGACTTTCTCAGATTTTACATATGTGAATCATGTTCCTTCTATTTCTCCAAGTAAAGCTCTTCATATCGCAATGCCTATTGTGTCGGCTTGGCCTTTCATAAGTGGAGACAGAATAAAGCGTCCATAATAAAGGTGTTTACTGTCTGTTCTTGATTCAACACACTTCCACTGTAGTGTCCGAGTAGATACTGCTACTTTCTCTCGAACCATAGCACTATTATTTGGTTAGATCATCGAATCTTTTATTTTTCTTGAGATTTCTTCAATGTTCAGTTCTACGCACGTCTTTTTTTCGGAGGTTGTAATCACGTGATTTTTGCCCTATATGAGAATTACTCCCAAAAAATTCAAAATAAAATGATTTTCCTTGGTGTGCAATTTTGAGAATTTTTGTGATATTTTTGGATAATTTTTGGTATTTGTCTGTGCATGTTTATTTGTTAAATTAATAAAAAAATACAAAAATATATCGCATTTTGCATGTAGGATTTAATTCTACAATTGTTAGTAATTAAGTTTGTTTTACAAAAAATTAAAAATTACAAAAATAGGCATCTTTTGCATTTTTAGCATTTAATGTCCAATTATACAATTTTATGCTTAATTATTACTTAATTGTGCGTTAATTGTTATTGGGAGTTAATTTGCGCTTTTATAATTTAATAATAATTTAAGGATTTTTAGAATTTAGTTTTAGAAAAATAAAAGAAGAAAAGAGAGCAAAAATACAAAAAAATCGGAATTGGGCCTCTTCTTCAAATTCAAGCTACAGGCCCAAAAAATGGCCCAACCTTCCCCATGACCGGCCCATTTCAAACCGGGTCGACCGGCATTTTAGGATTGTCTTTTAAAAATAAATGAGATGAGCCTCGCCCAATAAAACGCACTAATTGTAGGGCCCTCAATAAACGTTTAATTGAATATTTCGAATTTGGGAAGGACTGTTTAGTGAATTTCACTGCCTTCCCAAAGATAATAACGCGTTAGACTCTTCAGGCGCATTTTAATAATCTTACCTTCTTAAATTCGGGTGTGCATTTCATGCGACCCAAATCCAAATCCCAAAACATTGAATAAAAATGTGTTCCGGATTGCGGGTGCATTTCATGTGACGCAATCCAAAGACATGTTTTTAAACGATGTTCACATTCTTTTGAAATATAATAATAAAAGCGGTAAAGAGTTAAAACTTGCACATGAGCTCATAATTGTATAAAATCAGATAAATAAGCCGAATATGACAATT